AGGCTGTCAAGGCAAGGAACATGGAGCGCTGAATTCTAACTGCATTCCTTTCACTGAAAGGGTTGTCTAACAGGCATGAGGAGAACAGTCCACATATGGGATGATGAGCACAGCACAGGGACATCGCAGAACAATGGGAAAGAGAAAAGGTGTGCCAATGAATGTGTGAAGAGTTTCTTTATAGCAGATTCAATTCGTAGTGCTTCAAAAAGGTGCAGATAGAATATAGGTCAAAGGAACGGTTTCAGAATTGTTTTAGTATCTCAATCAATAGCTGTCGGTTTCAAGCGCTGTGATACTTCCATAAACTAACTATCCCCAGCTGAGACTAAGGCAATACTCTACATAGAACAAGCCGCATGTGAACCTTTAAGAGTTTGTTTTCTTAGTTGCTACTATGATGGACTGGCATTTGGAATACACTATATTCTAACTGCAGTTGGGAAATTCTAACTGCAGTGCTGGCTGCGATTTAAATTTCTATATTCTAACTGCGCTTTAAAATAAATAGTGTATTCTAACTGTCCGTCCAACGTAACTATTCCAGGCCTGGGGTAGTTCAACATTTAAGACATGTCGTGGTTGATAGCTGGCCGGATCTTACACGAACATCCCCCAACACCATTAATGGCCATTGTGGTGGGTTGGATGCACCTGTTGTCCCTCGCCGTCGATCACACCCTCCGTGTCCCTCGCGGTCGATCGTCGCCGTCGATCGTTACCCTCTATAGCCGTGGTTTCTAGATTCGATGGCATGTTTGTGGGCCTCCTTTTGGTCTGGGGGTGTGGATGGAACAAATCTAACCCTCGAGCTCGATCAAAAAAACTATTTTAGCTCCATCAGGCCACTTTGAGCCCACAACTCGCAGCTGGGCAGGTGATCAAGCAGTGCGCCCAGCACACCCAAACCCTCCACGGCTGAACATGCCGTCCCACCTTCTCCTCGAATGCTCCTCAGAGAAGCCCTTCGAAGAGCCAATGACCGCTTCATGGCTCCCACTGGGCCATCCAATACATGAAAATCTGATGGTTGATGATGCTTGTCCATCAAGTGTTTGACCACTACATTGATGGCTCTTGGGATTGATGCTAGTCCAGTGTAAATCCACGTGAAATGACCTCCTGGAGCCATGGAAAAGACATGAAAAGACCACAATGGTCGGAATGACTCCAAGTACCTGGAAGTCATTAGAAAGTAAATAGAAGTCATGAAACATGTTTTCTAATGATCTAGTTTTACGAGACCATCGACCTGGAGGGTAGTAAAGTGTTTCAGGTGTGGAAATCTGACCGCAACTTAGGCGTCGACATGTTGCACGTAGCATTCTAAGGGGAAAGGGTCTGTCCCGTTTTAGAAGTCAAGAAGGGCAAGTCCAAACAATCAGATCAAAGCAAACAAGTTTTAATAAGTTTCTTATATTACTGTATGGTGATTATGTGTCCAGGACTCATGCTTTTCATACGAGATACTTGGATACAGTTCGTTCATTGTCATCAAACTATCAAACACATTTTATCAAGGAACATCAGCACAGTCCCACTATGTCCCAGTCAGTCTATCATGAGAAACCACTGACCTCGGCCACACTGACTCACCGAGGTTTGTTTGCTTTCGCGATGTTTGGCTTCTGCGTGATTGTTGCTGAGCTGATCTCCAACACTTTGATCTTCAAGAGGAGACTCTGTCACTGTCCATGTAGCGCCCCCATTAAAGACAAGAAAGATCTTGCCAATGTCGATGGCTATCCATGGCTCAAGCAAAAATGACCTAACACTATTGGGCGATCACCTTTGCAGCAACATTAAACACAATGCATTTGTGATGATTTGTGGATCCAATAGATCTACAATGACCTACATTCCCAGAAATATTTGCGGAAGTGAATGGTATATATATATATATACACATACTATTACATACTTGTATATATGACGGCGTGGCCCCAATTTCGGATGACCATGAAATCCGAAGTCCAAACAGGTTGTGAACTCCACTTCCGTGTAATGTGTTCTGCGGAGTGCAATCCTTGTCCTTGTGATTTCACACGATTCCGGTGGTTGTTACTCTCTCAAATTCCACGCCTATGGAACATGTTTCTTGCTTGGCATGTCTTGTGATCCAAGAAACAACACTGGACGGAAGGGACCCAATGATGACCAGTGATATTTCCCTTTTAATCTCATTTTCAGACCAAAGGTCTTCAGGTGCATTTTGAGACACCCCAACTGTCCAACACCTCAGTGTCCGGCGGGCGGGGAACCCCCGCTTGGTTGGGGCGTATCTACAGCACGGTGCCCTTTCGATTTCTCGGTGTGTTCATTCTTTGGACGGCACCGGGCCACGCGCCCCAGGTTTTGACCGCTGCAGACGTGCTTTTGTTGGCGCTCAGTGCTTGGCGCCTGGGCGAGGCCGCGGCTCCCGGTCTGAGGTCTCCCGCGTCTGGGCAGAAAGCACTGAAGATTGAACATGATCGACCTAAGCCAGCTATAGGTGTTCATGTGGAGTTTCAGGCCCCGAAACACACCCAAACACCCAAAAACTGAAAAGATACCCTAGGGCCCTAGGGCTCCAACTTCCTTCCTTTTCAAAGGTGTTGGGGCGGGTGCCCGGGGGGGTGTCCACCGAACCTGAGGAGATGGCCAGGAACCCTAAGGCAAATTTTTGTTGGCCGTCTTTTTTGCAATTCTGAGGATATGAACCGTTTTGTCATGTTTTGTCCATTCAAGAGGGACGGGTTTATTAATCGGTGACCAAGTTTAGATCGTTGGTCTTACGGGGTCACACGGGGTCGTGACCCTGACCCGACTGTTCGGAGGTCGAAGGGCCTTGCCGCTTCTACTCCTGGGCACGGGGCCTTGGTGTTCGATCTTACGGGAACCGCCCAACTAACCAATCGGGCGATCCGCTGTTTAGAGTCTAAAGAAACAACCAGTCCGTATGGAGCATCCCCGATTCGATGTATTGAATCAAGAAGTATGACTGGAGAAATACATCAAACTCTACTAAGAGACATCAAGAGACTATATAAAGCCTCATCCAACGGCTACTAGATCCGGCTTCATCAGGTGGATTCAGATCCGACATCGGGTCGAAACCTAGCGACCTAGCGTGTGTGTTTGTCATGGTGTGTGAAGATCCAAAAGCCTGGTGATCATGGGTTTTCGTCGTTTTGTTGTTTGCGGAGAGACTGGCCAGTGATTGAATTCACCTAAGTGGTGAAGCTCAGGGTTTCAGGAAGAATCTACCAAATTGGTTTTGACAGCGATATTGGGGATGTCTGGTGACAGTGGTTTATTGCCAAATGGAGCAACGCAACATGAAGCGACTTTCGGGAGGTGAAGCAACGAGCACAACATGGTTGTTTTGGGGTCTTCATCCAGCCTTTGGGCACTGCCTCCGAATGGAACGGTATGCCGTTCACCGAGGCCAAGATGGTCCGGAAGCTGGCAATGCTTGATGTGTCCATCATGGGTGTATATGTGCCTCGACCGCCGTAGGTCCTGTAGGTGCCGTGTAGCAGGATTTCATGTTAACTTTCTGAACAGAACCCTACAAGTCCAAAAGACCCAGTAAAACCTGGTCCGTTACCTCTTAAATAATGTTTTTGTAGGGCTGTGGCGTAGCACAACATAGGGAGCGAGAGATGTAGATTGGCTGGAGACATCACGGCGATTCAGATGTGTTAGTTTTATTTCTATAGGTGCCCTACTGAAAGGCGCACAGCTACATCCTGCTTCAACAATGGCTGAATTGAGGTGAGGGACCGATTTTCTAGTCATCCCAATCCCACTAGGTCCTCATGCAGTTATGGGACTATGTGTCCAAATAGTTTGTCCTAGTTGTACAGGAGTTTCGACCATGCACATTTCATGCCTGACAGAGCTTTGAACTTCTGGTCACGTATGGGTGGAAGGATGCAACTACTTGCAAATGAAAGAGAATGAGTGGGACCAGTTTCTCTTGTTGTGGGAACCCTGCACACTTTGGGACGGACGTCCTTAGCAGTGCCCAAGTGGAGACTGGGTCCAAGTGGAGTCCAAGACTGCTAGCTATAGAATTGTTGAGGTCCGAGACGCATCTTCAATCGTCCACACAAATTGCCGTGGGGCATGCTTTATAGGCTAGACCCACTCATGGCTGCTAGGTGTACCATCCCACCCAAACATGACCCGAAGAGTCTGAACACCAATCAGCTCCATTTCGGTCGTTTGAGACGGACTACACAGGTCGGGGTCACGACTAGTCATGACGAGTCCTCAGGTCATCACCTTTTGCATGGGCATTTACAAGAAGCAGGGAATTGTGGTGTCGACCCGCGAAGGCTGAGACCGAGACGATCCGGTCGACGACGCGAGAACGAACGAGCGGTCGAAGACGGTCGGAACGGAACGTCCAGGAACGAGCGGCTGCAGGTGCCAAGTGACCAAGTGCGGCTGCAGTTTTTGAGATTATTTGGGTACTTGTTTTTTGGTATGGGTCCCACGAGGGCATCGTGGGAGGTGTTCGTTTTTTCTCCATTCTCTTGTTTCTGTTGGCCCGTTTTGGACACCCGGGCCACCTGGCGGTTTTTTGCTTCCCGATCAGATGGAGAGCTGCTCCCCAAATGATAGAAAGAATCTCCGATGCGCCATCAGAGAGCCTTGCAAACTCCTGTTCTATCTATTCGAGGGTTCATCTTAGAAGAAGTATATTTAGTTATTGGAAGAGTTCCATCCAGGAGTGTTTGCAGCAGAAACCCCTGTTTCCCTCCCCCCAAACCAAAATCAATCCAAATCAACAGACATCACCCCCGAAACCCCTACACACTCCCTGAACAATCGTGGAAGTGGATGGCATAACCCTTGGATGAAAGTTTTCCGAAGACCAAATAGGTGGCGGACTCCACTTCCATTGGAGTTTCCCTTAGAGCTCGAGTGCGCACTCCCACTAGCACATCACATGGACGTGGAACACCACCCTCTTCGTAGAGCAAAATCATCCTATGCCATTCACGTCAATGTGAGTTGTCAGAGTGCAATCCTAGATGGTCTTTTACATCCTTTTACGGCCTTGCTTGGTTGATGAATAGAAGGGATACCCCAGTCGTGCACCAGCAACTTGTTATATGTATGCATATACCATGATATACCCCTTTATACTTCCCAGTCGTGACATCTTTGAGTGCCTGGCGGAGCGCCTGCCTGAGGCCTTCCGGTGCTGATCGCGGCAGAGGTGATGCACACCTTGATCTACTGGCTCGTCTCAGGCGCGTCGCCCGCGTCCCCGGTCCGTCGGCCGGTGAGGGCCCACGGCTGGGCGATCTAGGTGTCCTGGGAGATCTTTGGGCTCGGAAGCGGAACTCAGGTGCAAATCATGGTGAAATTCATTGAAATTAGTTATACTTAGAACTTCGAGCCTGGTTCAGACCTCGGTCCCAAGGCTTTGGTCACCTCTAACATCCTCTAACCCTCCAGGTACAGTGGAGGCGCATGAAGCCGCCGCCACCGAGCAGAAGCTCTACGCACCTTGGGACCGGCACTATCTTCTTGGGCGCACGGGCGAGGACGCACCTGAGTACGCTCTTCGAAGGGGTCGAAGAAGAAGAACCATGGTCGGTGGACACCCCAGGGGCGAGGAATCTGTTCATGTTCGGTGGAAAAGTGTACGGTGCCATGACAAGAAAAAACCTGCTCGCTTGAGAAAGACAAGACTTGGACAGAGGGATGGAGACTGAGGTAAATGTTTCATGAACCTGCACGGATTTACGGATTTACCTATCACTGATGTAATACCTATATATATTATGGATAAGTCTAAGGTTCACCTGATGGGAGAAGGGATTTTTCCTTTATTTGGCACGGTCAAATCGTGGGGAGGGTTTGAGCAGGCGGAGCGGAGGAGGTGTTCGTTCGCAGTGCTGATCAGCTGAGCTTTATAAGGACCAGTCACTGGGGGGGAGACCGTTTATAGTTATAGAATGGGTATGCGGGGTAGTATACCCCAGTTTAGGGTCAATTTCAGGGAGATCAGCTTTTTCAGCTCAAGGTCCATTCCATCCCTTCCCAAGACCTTATTGTAGACTTGCTGGTTTAATGCACTCCCCAATGTGTAAATGATACAAAGAGGTTTTACAATCCAAATGTGCAGGCTGCAGGCTTTATCAATCAAGAGTCTACGTTACTCCTTTTGGATCATTCCCTGATGGTTGATGCAGATCCAGGAAAGCAGGAGTCCTGCTGGTCGTTACTTATAACTTAAAACCACCAGCAAGGGGACTGGCACATTGACCTACATTGGGGTATAGTTTCAGTTTCTTTTTTGTTACAGGCTTCATGACTGTTGCGGAAGCCCTCGGTGGATGGGTGAGTTTGGGACGCAACACGTTCTCGTGAGTTGGGTGCCCAGTTCCACAGTTCCTCCTACCCCAAACGAGTTAGTACGTTGTTCTCAGCTGCAAGTACCGCATTGGATTGCTTTCCCACCGGGAACGACCTTCCAAAGGTCGTCCGGCACGGTGGACCTTTGGTCCGGCCCTGACCAGAAGACACTACATATAACTGGTGATGCTGCGGTGATGTTCATGTTACATGGGGGGGGTGGGGGGTGGGGTGGGATAATGATGTTGATGTTACATGAGGGTTTCTCTGATGTCGACGTTACATGGGGGTTACAGTATCAGTAGTTGGAGCACCGCCCATAGAGGGCCGCGGTGTTTTGTGTTGTTTTTGACTTGATGTTTTTAAGCGTTTTTCCTGTGATAAGCATGGGTTCTGGAGGGTGGGAGGGGTGGGGGGGTGTGGCCGGGATAATAACGTCCGTTGTCGATGCAGTATATAGGTTGTGAGTCACGGTCTCTTCCCCGGAAAAGTACTTATATATATATGTTCCATGAATGTCAGAGTTTTAATGGGTTGTGCTTGGCACAGTGTTCTTTTTTTTTCCGTCAAGCACGTGTGTGTTGTATACCGCAGTTTTCCAGATCTTAGTATGGTGTGTTTTTCAATTCCTTCTGCTTTGTCTCTTGCTTTCAATTTGTTGTTGCGGTTGGGACACTGGACAGGGGTGGATGAAGTTCCGCACTTGTTGAATCGGTGGTTTGAGGTGGACCCGTTCTACATTGATAGCCTGTTGAAGACCTTTTGTGATGCTTCCACCCCCGATCCTTTTGTGACTGCCACTGTGGACATTGTATTGCAATCAGATAGATGGCAACTACTTCGGCCGTCGAAGCAAACAACCACGGAAACGGGGTAAACATGCTGATATTTGCAGTGTAAAATGCTCTTTGTCTACCTGTCTACCTAAAACACAAGCAATTCGCCTACTTTTCAATCACCAAGGCCTCAAAACACTGAAAGGGTTCACAAAAAGATGTGAACCGATCCGTGGATCCAAGGAGTACAAGGTGGCCGACACCGAAGAGGGCTCACCCAAGAAGTTGGACTTCTGCTGCCACGTGAACCAGTGACCTGACGAAGCAGATCGACATCATATCTCAAGTTGTTCATCACTCTTCAGATCGAAATGACGTTCTTAGGGCAAGTGGGGTAAGCAAAGCCAGCCCCGCAGTACATAAGCACAAAGTGAGTTCCCACAGAATGCTAAACAAGTCTGCCGTAGGAATCTACGTCCCGCACACTGGTGCAGGTCTACGCATGGGAAACCCCACGTCAATTGCTTTGAACTCTGATAGGGAAACCAAGGGCTTCACCTTTTCATTGTTGAGACTGAGACTCCAGCAGCTGGTAAGACTTGGTTTAGACTGCTCCAAAAGAATCCAAAAGACCCTTATAAAAACTTATAGTGGCGCTGATCCTTTTCTTTTGGGGCGATTGAGATAGATAGGGTGTGTCCCATTAGTAACAGTCAGTAAAAGATGATCACTATTTGTTGGGAAAGGCCTTACTACAATAATCATCCACTTTTACTTGTTTATGGGATGATATACCCAATATATATTATATAGACGTTCCTATTTAATTTGAAGTTGACTGATGATCAAATTCAACCTGCTTACCTGGATGGTCAAACACGGGATTTGATGACTCAAACATCAACATGCCAGGCGGCCCCTACCCATTCCTCTTGTGTCTCTTGTGTCTTTTGGTCGTTTGATCAGCAAGAGAGGCGTGCCAGACGTCTGAACGGCAGAATGGCACCACGAGGTACGGGGCAAATCCCAGCAACTCCAATCAGAACACTTACTCTTTCTCGGTCCACAACTTTAGAACAGGCCGCTCAAGCCCAACGCAGTTTTTCTACGACTGCAGCTAGGCATTTAATACCTTACTGAACTTCCTTGTAGGATCTTGGTGTATTGGTTCCACGAAGAGTACTGTACCATATAGTGAGAATAGAATGGCATGCAAGTTTCTGCATGTTTTCGATATTGGCTCCTACTACAGTAACGCCATGTCAATAATCGATGGTGGCCCTGCCAGTGCAGTCAGCGCCGGAGAGAGTCTAAAGCACTTGTTCCCTTCATCCATACATTGTGGGGCAGGCCGGCAAAATCATTGATGGAGGTCATTTATCTATACCATCTATACCTGTTCATTCTGTTTATTCTCAACAAAAATCTGGAGCTCCATGTCACTTCTTGGATCCCCGGAATGCCCCTGGCCACTCGCCTATAATTAATTACTGGTCAAGACACACACCCCTTTGGAATTTCGATCCACCGACATCCGCGGACAGTGGTTTTTGCAGCTCGCCGGGGGTTCACCGCCCTGCCCGAGGTTTCTGAGCCGAGCCCGTCAGATGGGCGTTCGCTGAGAGGGCGTCCAGAGTGGTGCACAGCGGATCGTGGAAATCCCACCGAATTGCGCAAGAACTCCCACAAGCACTACCTATAGGGCGTGGCCTATATAAGAGTCAATGCAAGAATACTCCCCCCAAAACCGGCAAACTTGAGCACCGGGAACCGAATCCGTTTTGGGCGCCAGCGGCTGGTGTTCCTTTTTTGGAGGACCTCTCAAGGAGCCCGGAACATCTTCCGCTGCAGCGGTCGACGACTTCTTCCGTCTGTCCTTTGCGGACGTTGACTTGGCCAAGCTCGAAATCAAGTCAAAATGGATGTGCAGGGAGCATGTGTGGGTCGATAGTTCACGATGCAACATTGACATTTCATTGATATGCATGCTGCATGTATATCATGTGCAACGATTGCACGCATGTCCCTTGACGAGCTTCTTTGAGCTTCTTATTGAGCTCTAGGAAATCGTCCGACGTGCTGACAATTCAAGGTCAACGCGGCCCGAAGCCTCACGAATGCAGATCTCTCCGGACCCGTTCGGCAAATCTAAGCCGTGAGTCTCCGTGGGAGTCGCCGCTGAGGACAAGCGCATGGCATTCAAAGCAATGCTGAGTTCAGAACCGCTCGAAAAAGGCGAGCGAGACGGCGGGGAGTAGTGGTGGGTTTGTCGCAGTGGGACCGTGTTTTTGGCGCCGGCCTCCCGAGATTGTTGAGCTTGTTGCGGGAGAGCTTCTGGAAGTTGGAGGCGGTCTTCACTTGTTTCGAGCCCGGAAAAACAGAGTAATTCAGCGAAGATAGCGGAGAGACGAGCATCTCGGAGTGGCGTTCTAGCGCCCCCCCCCCCCCCCCCCCCGGGGCGGGGGGGGGCGGGGGGGGGGGGGGGGGGGGGCGGCGGGGGGGGGGGTCGGCCCCCCCCCCCCCCCCCCCGATGCTCGGTGTGGTCATGAGCGGGGAGATGGGAAGACGGCATCGACGGAGTGCGGGACCACTCGGACGGAGTGCCGGGAGCTTCCGGGAAGGGTGAAGATCTGAAAGAACCGACTCGGGCGATCAGCGAAAACGCCAACTTGGGGTGTTATTTTATTGAGTTAGTCATATACGTGCTTCATACTCCCAGAGCCCGGGTGAAAGAGTGACACTTTTCGGAGTGTGATGATTGAGACTTTCCATTCTCGGAATTCGCAAGGCCTTCAAGCCAGCAGCTGAAAGCTGGATGGAAAGCTCAAGAACCCATGGGAGATCCTCCGCATGACTACAACGGTGGCCAACATGTTGACAGTTGGACAGAGCATCATGGTTTTACGTAAAACAATCGAGCTGTTTCAGAATATTTCGGGTATACGCACCACCTTGCCAAAACTGTTTTGGTTTCCATGATTTTGAATTGACAGTACATATGAGTACCAACACTGGAGGTGACCGGGTTTGGAAGAAGGCATGGATTTCTCTTACATAATGTATGGTGATGAGTATCATCATGGCTTTGTGGAGGGTAGCCAATATTCTGCAACGGCGAGCATGAAGCTTCTGCTCCGCTGCCTTTGAGCTTGGCAGAGGTCCAAACGCCGACCCCAGAGTTATATAGCACACAGCAAGAGTCTGCAGTGACATGGACGAACCACAACCGGTTTGCACCAACAAAGTTAATTCGACCCAACATTTTGGCCAAATCAATAAGAACTGCCCAATCTGCACCTTGATCTAGGACTAAAACGAAACTCCCTTCCCTACAAACCCGGTGGTGATGGCTGGAGCTCATAGCAGCGTTGGGGAGCTTACCCCTCGCCACTTTGGGGTATGAGTTGCAAAATGCATCAAAATGCAAATAAAGCCAGGAAGTACCTGCAATATCACCCTTTTCAAGCCAGACTTGTACCTCCAACGTGTGCCCGCACTTCTTGGGTGGTTCGCGGCAGTCGCCATGGCCGTGCCAACTGTGCCCAGGGTGAGGCTTTCAGATGCTCGGATATTGATCTCGATGACATCGGGCGACCTCTTTTGTGAGGCTCCGAGGGCTCGGTTCGCGGACGGGACAAGAAGATATGGCCAGAAGACATGCTGTGACCGAAATCGATGGGGTTTGGGGTGTTGGAGTCAACTGCAAAACTGTACTCGATCAATTTAATAGACAGCTTCGAATCACTATAGACTATGCTGTTTGTTTGATAGAAATATGACCAGAAGAGGGGAAGCGTGTCGAGCAGGTGAACGCAAGAAACGCAACAGGTATCAAATGGTAATCACAAAATATCAATCTCAAAGGTGGTTTTTGTCCCCCCCCAAAAAGCATGGGCGGCCCGTTCCCGGGGTGCCGGGTCCGTTCCCGGTCCGGCCCGGTCCGCCTGGTCGAGAATCGAGACGAGGATTTGTCCCCGACGGAGAAGGAGCGAATGCTGTCCTTCTTGGTGGCCAACCAGGCCGATCGATCGAAGAGACCGCTGTCCTTCTCGGATCCAGGGAGTACGTCAACTCGCCGGCACGGTGTGGGTTTTACATGTGGGCGGGGGGTGGGTGAATCCGCTAGCACGATGTTGATGTATGATGTCTTTCCCCAAGCACCGAATTAGCTGCAGCTTGTTGCGAACCTATATCCATTCACTATCTGAAAGTCCAAGAAAGGCCCTTCCAACCTGTGTAATTGATGTGACATGTGACATGTGTCTTTTTCTGCTTCGAATCGACAGGACCGAAGACTCTTCGTTTCGTGGCCTGTGCTCCAGTCATCTCCTCGATTCGCTCGGCACAGTCGAACCCGTTTCGACTCGTCGGATGCAGTAGGGACCGTTGGCCATCCACATAACCACCGTCACCGTCACCATGATATCAGGATATCGGATATCTCCGTGTCGTGATTTAAGAAATGCCCTGCGTTCGCGCATTGCTGTTTCGTCTCCACCTCTCCCTTCTCTTCCCGTCCAACCTCATCCCATCCCAACCAGACCCATCTTCTCGCCTGGGTTGCACGCCGTTTCACTCCGGGCCGGCGCCCCATCTCACGGCTTCCAAACCACCGGCTTCCGCTACTCACTCCTCGCGCTCCGGGACCGGACGCGAGTCCTGCACCGTCGGACGGAGAGACATCGCCCCGTCGTCCGTCGGTGCGACCGCGTTTTGAGGTGGACTTCAAGCCCGACTTGTCGGGCAACTTCAGTGCCACCGTGAAGATTCTCCCGCCGCCGGAGGGAAGGGGGAGAGAGTCCAGTCGAGTCGAGAGTCCAGTCGGTCGCCGCGGCCTATGAGATCGACCATGATCGACCTAGACAGGATGGACCCCATGGGGTCCAGAAGGGTCGGTGAAGGGAAGGGGAGTCAACTGCGCGTCTCTTTTGACCATCCATGTGACCATGATTGGAAGGGGAGTAAACGGAGTAAACTTCGAAAGAAACACCTCATGGACGAAGTGCTTAAACTCAGGGCGCGTGGAGCCTTTGAAAGACCGCCATCGGCAAACTTCATCCAGTCACGGACAAGACCTTGATGCACCAGGTCAATGGCCTCCGGGTCGGTGGCTTCTCCAAAACCTAACCATGATTTGGTCACGGCGGTCGGTGGGTTAATAGCTTCTGAAGGATCAACTGCCAGGCCAAGAGCAAGGGGGCCGCAGATCCAAGAAGCGGCTCAGTCAGACAAGGCGGCAGTCGATTCCCTGCATATGTTTAGGCCGCCCTTCCTGCCGCATTAATGTTGACTCTTGATTTATAAACTCCCCCCCCCCCTCAACAACCAAGGCCTCCAATATAATATATAACAAAATCAATCAATTGATAATTAAATAAGGAATCCTTAGCTAGCTACCTCTGGAGCTACTCTGGCAATATTAAAATAAAAGGAATTAAGAAACCTAACTTTGAAGACATCTGGAATATTAATTAGAATAAAAGGGAATGAATCAATGGACAAAGAACAAAGAACTAACTTAAAGAATAAGGGATTTTATAAAGAATACGTTTGAATAAGGGATTTTATAAAGAAAGTGCGCACTGACTTTTGGAAA